TCGTTTTGTAATCTGTGCATGGATATTAGCCAATCTACGCACATACTACAAAACGAAAAAGTATGTTATTGTGTTCAACTACGAATATATTTCATATCCATTTTAGGTAGTAAGAACACTTTAACAAAATTAAATCTACAAATCACAGTTCATATTTTGGTCACCCAACTCCTATTATTTAAAATTTTTTAAATAAGTGACAATTCTGTTAAACTAATTGTCAATATATATTTTAGTTATTGATATTAAATATACATTAAAATTTTTGTGCAGACTCGATAAATAATAGCATTTTTGTTTCTATTGTGTCCACATTTAAAAAAAATAAATTTTAATTAAACTACATGATACTAATTTAATTACGAGTATTAAAACTAAAGTCCTGAAAGTTTCGGTGAAGATGAAGACAGAGCATCTGCCTTCCACGCGAAAAGTCCGGGATAGAATCTAGGCCGAGGACTAATTAATTTTTCATGTTTATTTTATTTTATAAATTAGTCAACTTCGTAAATTATTTTAAAATTAGTTATTTTGTCTAAATAACCTAAAATATTTTTTTAAATTTGTAGATTTTCGTTAGTGGGTCGTAGAAAAAATATACTGACCATATCGAGTAGATTGTTCATATCACAATCAGACGATTTAGTTCTCCGCCTACGACGTCGTGCTCAAACTTCGTCTTTGATATGGCTATCATATCCACCCTTGTTGAACAAACTACAATTTATTTGTTTTCTTGGTTTAAGTTTTACATCAGAAATAGGAATTAAATTAATTTACTTTTCAAGTTTTCTTGTAAAAATCGATATTACTTTCTCCAAGTACAAATTTAGTACCTGCCTAAAATAAGTACTAATTATGTTATATCTTGTAATATTGTAATTCAAATTTCACATTACTATAAAGTTTTAAAATTTCCTACTTCGGTATGGTCAGATAAAAATTGAATATATTATATTAATAAAAACTGTCAAAGTATAACTTCTACAAATCTGTATTTCAAATAATAAGAATACATCTAAATATAACCAATATTGTTAAAACAAAAGCACACATTCTTTATAATTCCAAAATACCATAGAGTTCCCAGACCTCAGTCGAAGCATTCGTTTATCTAGGTATAAACACTTGTCAGAGACACGGGGGTACCACTTGATTTGCATCCACGAGCGTGACACAATTCTTTAACAATTGAAGCCCTTGGTGTAAAATGGATCCAAGCCACAATTTGTCGTGAAGTGACTGTTTTAACTCAACGAGGATTTTACTAGCCATATATAAATTATTTTACCTCTAATCCGAAAGATGTGCTATTTTTCGTAATATTTATATTTAAATAATTTTTTTAATTATATTTGAAAGATTTAAAACAAATTAAAAATGTAATTTCCCAAAACTTACTTAATATGGCATGTGGCCAACCTTATTACGCCAAGGTTTTCAATTTTTTCAATAATAAAAAAATTGTTTAATCAGGGCCCGACTTTTCCCTTAAATCTAACAGAGATAGCACCATTCCGTCTTGCTTGGTTCTCGACCGCCAGATCAAAGACGCCGACACGGTGTTGTGGAGCTGTATTGTATAAGCTGTGCTATAGTCATGTTCTTGCGACTTTTCCTCCCTCCAAATGAGCTGTGTTTGTTTCAAATAGAGTTTCTACCATTCAATAACTTACAAAGTTCCTTGGCGGCACATCACTTCTTAGTTAAACCCCGCCGACTTGCTGTCTAGGGGAAAACTTCCATTAAATCACTTGGAATTTTGGATTCATGGTCCTTTGTTTTTAATAGATTAAAACGCATGTGTTACGATTTATTTTCGCAAGTTTCTGATCCACCTGAAGAAAGAAAACACAGTCATATCACTATACATATGCCAGAAAATATTTGGCTCACATTTTTCTCGAAGTTTTCATCTCTGAGTAGATTAAAAAGATCTTTGACCTGCATTTTTAGGTTCATTTACAATGTTCGTAAAACAATAAAAATGAATGAGCCTCTTACTCCCACAGAACTAAATAACGCCCACTGATCATACTGCCCACTGATCGAAACAAAATTCCTGACCTCATAGACCACATACGTACCTAGGGTCTATATAGTCTATATCAGTCGTACTCAATCTGCGGGCCGCATGCGGCCCACCAAGCTGTTTTATCGGCCCTTAAGCTTTTTTTGCGGCCCTCCAAGCTTATGTGTGCAGCTCCAAACACGAATATTAGTAATTGAAATGGTTGACCTATAGTCCTGTCCTTGCGACTTTTCAAAGCTTATTAACACAACTAAAACAACATGAGGATTTTTTTTTAGAAAGTATGTAAACTAAAATAATATGAGGACTTTTTTTTTGTTTTGAACATATTGTAGCCCGTATAGCATAATAGATTTATGTGGCCCGAAAGAAAAAAAAGTTGAGTACAGCTGTCTATATTATTTTTTCAATTTGAAAATTTTTAGTTGACTTTTCAAATTTGTGTATCTTCTCTTTGCCTTTGATGCTTTCTTTCTCAGTCTATCCTCTATTTTTAATTATTTTTAAGGTGAAGGGTGAGAAAAAGTCCTTTATATCTCACAAGGAAAGTCAATGTTTAATTGTTTAACAAAACATTGAGTGCGACCGGTTTCGAAGTGTCATCACTTCATCTTCAGGCTCGCCTAGTGGAAAGGAGAATATGTGGTGTAAGGTGTGTTAACTTGGAAACAAAACGATATATAAAATAATAAAAAAGAGAAAACTCACCATACTCTCCATCCACTAGGGAATACTACAAAAACAAGTTTCATCAATTTTGGGTTGAAATAAATTGTAAAATGAACCGATTTACACGTAATAAAAAGTTAAAAATATTTGAAAAAACAAATATTAGTCAATTATAGTAAAAATTTAAAATATTCAAGACTATACAAAAACAAATCACATACATTAAACAGATTAAAAGATAAGGCCTATTTTAAACATTGTTTCAAAACTTTCAAAGACTGGTTTTTCTAACAGCACTTTAGCTTTATTTAAGTCATATTTATCAAATAGGACACAATTCGTTACTTACAATGGATTTAAATCAGAATCAATTGCGGTTTAAATCTGGAGTACCACAGGGTTCAAATCTTGGACCTTTACTATTTTTAATATTTATTAATGATTTATACAATGAAATTAGTTGTAATAAATTGTGTTTTGCGGATGATTTAAAGATTTTCTTAAGTATTAAAAATACAGATCACTGCAATGAGCTACAGAGAAATTTGAACTGTATTAATAACTGGTGTAAGACAAATATGTTACACCTAAATGCTCAAAAATGTAAGATAGTTACTTACTCTAGGACAAGAGAAAATATTCAATTCTCATATTCGATTGGAGATAATGAGTTGGAGAGATGTTCTACTATTAGGGACTTAGGTGTAATTTTTGATGCTAAATTAACCTTCTCAAATCATATTCAAGTTAAAGTTTCCGAAGCTTTTAGAATGTATAGATTCATTATTAGAAACTGCAGGCAATTTTCAAATATAGCACCTATTAAATTATTATTTAGTACCCACGTGCGTTCTAAGCTGGAATATTGTAGTCTGATCTGGAACCCTTATTACAACTGCTACGTTCTGGATATAGAACGGGTTCAAAGAAAATTTTTAAAATACCTAGTTTTCAAAATTGATGGAGTATATCCCGAACGTGGTTGTGATTATACGGAGTTGTGTAAACAATTTGATATTAATAGCCTGAGCCTAAGAAGGAACACATCCTCGCTTATTTTTCTATTTAAACTCATGCACAATTTTATTGATTGTAGCGATATTTTGTCACAAATTAAATTTAATATACCCCGTCTAAATTCTAGAACCAACAAGCTATTCGAATGCCCTAGGGCAAAAACCAACTTGATGTTAAAATCACCCTTATATGTAATGTGTAACAATTACAATAAAATTAGTAGTCGTTGCGATATTTTTCATTGTTCTCTTGGTGAACTAATTAAAAATGCAGTTACTTTCCTTAACGAAATATTGTAATAAGTATATTGTATTATATTGAATTCTCCCTGTGTTATTTTTGTAAGAATTTTTTTTTTTTTAATATATTCTTGGCTTGTTCACAATATTCATTTGTTTTCTATTATAGTTTTTATTTTGCAACTTTTAATTAGTTTTCGTGTAAATATATGTTACATCACAACCCATAAGTAGAATTTACTTTTGTAATTTATTAATTTTATTTTTAGATACCACTTTATTATTGTTACTTACTATTAAGAATATTGTCCTGTAAATGGGAAACTGTTGGGCAATAAAGCTATTATTATTATTATTATTATTATTATTATTTTTTTTTTTTTTTTTTTTTTTTTCTTTCTCCTTCTCAGGGTTGTTGATAAATTGGGATTCTTACGGAATCAGTCAATTAATCAGGCTTTAAATTTTTTCAAGTGTGAGTTGTGCGACTTTTATTCATTGGCAGGTAAGTTCAGAGTTTTTCTCACAATACGACAAGTTTCTAGTAAAACTGACTTTTGCATTGTTGTGAAGATATTTTTGTCAGTGATGTTTATTTGTTTTAGGTACGACTCCAACTTCTTCGAAACCAGACCAGTAGCTGAAATTACTATGGGAATTATGGTAATACTTTTTAGTTTATGTATACTTTTATATTCTTCGGCCAATTCGAAGTATTTATTATTTTTTTCCTTTTCTGCTTTTTCTAGATTATGATCGTTGGGGTGCGTGATGTCGATGAAGAAGCCCACTTTCTCCTTTTTTCTTTCAAAGACGATGTTAGGTCTATTGCTGGATACTGGTTTGTCGGTCTGTATTGGCGTATCCCAGTACAGAAGGTATGTATCACTTTCTAGGACCGGGAATGGAACATACTTAAAATATTGTTCAGCTTTTTCTTGAAAATTGCACATAACTGCCAGATGCTGATGAACTATGTTGGCCGTTAAGTTATGACGCTTTAGGTATTCAGTAGGCGCTAATACCGTGCATCCCGATACTATGTGCTCTATTGTTTCTGAGTGGCGACGACACATTCTGCACAAGTCGTTATCGAGTCGAACTCCGTGGATAATTTGGATATGATTTCGTGTTGCGATAACGTTGTCTTGAATCGCCACCAAAAATCCCTCAGTTTCCCCGAACAAGTATCCCTTTCTCAACCATTCAGTTGAGAATTCAATTTTTGATTGCAGAAGTTGATTGGGATACTTTCCATGAAGGGGCTTCGACAGCCATTCACTTTTTCGTATGTTGAGATCAGGAAGTGCTGAGCTTCCTTCTTTGAGTTTAACTGGAGAGTAGTTATCCAGCTGAGTTACGACTCGGTGAAGTGTAGAAGTTAAGGATTTATCTCGAAAGTATTTTTTTTGTTTATTTATTTGCTTTTGATAAAGTAACTTTGTATCTAATAGTCCCCGGCCTCCCATTTTCCGTGGAATATAGAGCCTTTCTGTACAAGCTTTTGGATGGTGAATTAAATATTTTGTCATTTGCACACGGATCGATCGATTAAGAGCCTCTAACTCCCAGTGGCGTGCAGTGGCATTGGAGGTAGGGTAGGCAAAGGCTAGTATAATATATATTTTTTTTTAAATTAACTTACCCATAACAAATCGTTGAGAAACATTGTTCTCTTGTTAAGGTGAAACACTGTCTTAATTTACACAAATTTATTAAAATAACTACCAAAATAAATAAGAAACAGAAATAATTATTTTTTATAAATTAGTTCAATACGGCGGTTTTTCATCAAAAATGCTTTGATAACATCATCATAAAAAGTCAAATTGCGTTTTAAATCTAGCAAGAGTTCTTTCTCCAAGGAAATGATTGACAAACTGCTAAGTCGATCTTGCCCCTGAGTATTACGTAAATATGTATGGATACGCTTAAGTCCAGAGAATGAACGTTCTGCAGATGCCGAGCTAGCGGGTATTGTCACAATTAATTTTGCTAATTTGATTATTTGAGGGAACACTTCGCACATTTTTTTCTCATGACAAAATCGTATGACTTCATAAACATTCATGCCTTTGAATTCTAATGATGAATATAAACAATTTAGCTCATTTTTTAATCTCTCAAAATCAAATTTTAATCCGTATTTTATTTTTAATTCCTTGAATACTTCTTCTGGAAATTTATTTTTAAAAGATTCGAAACAATCTGGATCCAAAAGGTGGAAAAATTGTAGTAGCCTAATTTCCCTGTAGCGATCATCAATTTCGCTTTTGATGTTATCCACTATTTCTCTAAAAATTCGCCTGTAGTGCGTCTTAACATCACTCATATTTCGTTTTCTTTTAGGCTCACCATAAGTGTTTGCACATTTTGCATAAATTTTTTCAAATTCCGTGAAGAGATTTTCCAAAAATGCTTTAAAATTCTCGATTTTCTTAATACAATAGCCAATATCAGAGAGTTTGCACTGTATTATACTATATAGTACATCCGTCTGGGCAAATATTACGTTGAAAATTTCCAAAAAATAATTGAATTCAAAATCTTCTAGAGTAAATAAATACATTCTAGCTGCCGCGAGAGTCTCTCCATCCCAATTTGATTGGTTTTCAAGCATGTCATTGAACAGGTCCTTCAAATTAGTAAGTTCACTAAAAATTACATTTACCGTTCTGGAATTATAGGCCCATCGAGTCTGAACTACACGTGGCAATTTTTTAGAGCAAAATCGGTTATAGAAGTCAGAACGCTTGGTACTAGTGTGGAAAAATGCACCCAAATTTTTAATTGACCCAAAAAAGTGTTTAGTTTCCACGATTCTCTCACAAGACTTTGACAAAACTAAATTCAAAATATGAGCATTGCACCATACGTATATCGCGTCAGGACAAATTTCCCGCACTTTTTGCTGAACTCCATTTTTGCTAGATGATAAAACAGCGGCTCCATCGTAGGTCTGAGCTACCAATTTGTCAGTACATTTATAGTCATTTAAAATATCCGTAATTATTTTGGTTAGCGCTTCTGCAGTTCGATCCGGACTTACGTCGATAAAGCCCATAAACCGATCAACTACCTCATTTGATTCTGTAAAATACCTAAAAATCACACATAGTTGTTCTTTGCCGCTTATATCTGGTGTCTCATCAATCATAATAGCCACGAAGTCTGTTTGGTGCAACTCATGTCGCATTTTTTCCTTAAGTACAAAGGCTATTGCAGATATTAAATCATTTTGTATTCGGTTTGAAAATCCGGAAAAAACATTTCTCTTTTCATTTTCGTTGGATGCGTGTAAATGATCTTCGAGAATCCCATCATAATTAGCTAGGAGCTGTATGCATTCTATAAAGTTGCCCCTGTTGGACGACTCAGTGTTTTCTGTGTGTCCGCGGAATGGCAGTTCCTGCTTTCCCAAAAAACAAGTTATATCAATAAGTCTTCGCATTAGATTACGATTTCTATCGACTTTAGAATTATGCCGCTCTATTTCCTCTTTAAACTGACGAGAAAGGCTCATTTCTATCCTATTTTGTCCAAAGTTACATAAAGAAAGGGCAGATTTTATATGATTCTCAGACTGATCATGTTTTTTTGCAGCATTTGTCAAATTATTCAGGTCTGCGTAACCGACATTAGTCCACACATTCTTTTCTTTCGAAAATAATAGACATGCCCAACAAAACAACTTGTTAATATGTTTGCAACCTGCAAACCAATTATAATTTTCATAAAACTTATCGCTAAAATACCGATTACAGTTTTTCTTTTGTTGCACAATTTTAAGTGAAGGGGTAGGCCGCCCCGCCGCAATAATGGCATGTTTGTTTTCAAACGTTCTGGTGCTAAACGGAACTGTTTTTAGCCGTTGTAAACAATTTTCACTGTCATCACATTCACACTGCATTTTTATTTTCAAAGTAAATGTCTCCAGTCTCCTACACTAATCAGTTAACACAACAGTTTGGTTTCTGTCAATGTTTTATAGAAAAGGTTTGGCCAAATTATTCTTAAAACACATTATAAAAAATAATATAATCCGATAATCGACAACGCCGCGAAACGACACGCCAGGTAATACCGAATGCACATGCCACATGCATCTCGCATAACGTTCAGCTCGGCGCTCTATCTCTTTTCAACACACTACGCTACATACATGCCTTTAATTTCGTACGCTTATTATTATCACTGTAGGTGCTGCCTTCGCATCTCGGTATAGTTTCCATGTCATCACAACGGTCCACCTTACGGCGCGTAAATATGGGCCACCTACACAGGAAGTTTGAAGTGCGCTTAAAAGCAAGATTGCACTATATTTTAGAATCGTGGAAACATTTGCGTTTGCTTTAATAATAATTGCAGACGAAACAGATTGAAATAAAGGAAGTAAAATATTATGTTGTAATTTAGAAGTAGAGTTTTCGCATGTTTTCGATAATTTTACAAATATTGCTAAGGTAGGCAATGCCTTTTTGCCTACATTGATTGCACGCCACTGCTAACTCCGTGTTTGACCACCCGATCACTCCAAAGGAATATGACATTGTAGGAATTGCCCATGCATTAATTGCCCTAATTTTGTTTTTTGCTATTAATTCAGTACGCAGTATTTGTTTCGTTCTTTTTTCGAGTGTTTCTGTAAGATGTTTTTTGGTCTCTTTCTTATTGATTACAAGTTGTTGCTCGTACCCCAGGTATTTATAACTCTCGCTATTTAGGTATTTAATGTTCTCGATTTCGATGTTTTCGTACTCTCTAGGCTTTCCACGGTGTGCTACTAATTTCGCGCATTTATCAAAGCCAAATTTCATTTTAATGTCACCGCTAAAGTTTTTGGTTAACTCAATTAGTCTATCTAGATCTTTTTCAGAGGAGGCGTATATTTTTAAATCATCTACATAAAACAGGTGTGCTATTATGTGACTTATTTCTCCCATTTTTAAATTGTATCCTATATTGGCTTTTTGCAGTGCTTTTGACAATGGATTGAGGCTTAAAATGAACCACAAAGGACTAAGAGAGTCACCTTGGAATATCCCGCTTTGAATCTGTATTTCATCTGTTTCTATTATTTCGTTGTTAAGTAAAAGATTAAGAGTTGTTCGCCAGGAATTCATACATTCACTTAGAAATCTAACAATATCTTCGTCTATTTTGTACAGTTTTAATACTTCTAGTAGCCAACTATGTGGTACAGAGTCAAACGCCTTTTGGTAATCAATCCATGCTACTGCGATATTACGCGATCTATGTTTGGCATCTTGTGTAACTACTGAGTCGATAAGAAGTTATTATTATTATTATTATTATTATTATTATTATTATTATTATTATTATTATTATTATTATTATTATTATTATTATTATTATTATTATTATTATTATTATTATTATTATTATTATTATTATTATTATTATTATTATTATTATTATTATTATTATTATTATTATTATTATTATTATTATTATTATTATTATTATTATTATTATTATTATTATTATTATTATTATTATTATTATTATTATTATTATTATTATTATTATTATTATTATTATTATTATTATTATTATTATTATTATTATTATTATTATTATTATTATTATTATTATTATTATTATTATTATTATTATTATTATTATTATTATTATTATTATTATTATTATTATTATTATTATTATTATTATTATTATTATTATTATTATTATTATTATTATTATTATTATTATTATTATTATTATTATTATTATTATTATTATTATTATTATTATTATTATTATTATTATTATTATTATTATTATTATTATTATTATTATTATTATTATTATTATTATTATTATTATTATTATTATTATTATTATTATTATTATTATTATTATTATTATTATTATTATTATTATTATTATTATTATTATTATTATTATTATTATTATTATTATTATTATTATTATTATTATTATTATTATTATTATTATTATTATTATTATTATTATTATTATTATTATTATTATTATTATTATTATTATTATTATTATTATTATTATTATTATTATTATTATTATTATTATTATTATTATTATTATTATTATTATTATTATTATTATTATTATTATTATTATTATTATTATTATTATTATTATTATTATTATTATTATTATTATTATTATTATTAATATTATTATTGTTGTTTTTTTAAAAAAACTAACATTTTTTGAAAGGAGACCTGTCAAGTTAAGGCCTCTACAGGTGGTGGTAAGTATTATAACGAAAAAATTCTTGGGTAAACTTATGACAGGGTATAGTTAATAAGATGTAAACTATGAGCGAAGAATTATTTATTATCTATTATATAAGATTTGGGCCATGAACCAATCACCAAGTGTATGTGATGTTGTAGGAAGAAGAAAGAAGAAGAAATGACTGGGTTAACTGTTGTGAAGCAACTGAAGAATAAAAGAAGAAAATGACACATGTGGATATCAGACAATCTAACCTAATCTTTACACGTGCTCGTTGGTTTCTTATGGGAAAAAATATAAAAATTACTTACTGAAATGTACCCCTTGCAAGAAGATATGTGAATAGAAATAAAGAGGGAAGGTTAAAAAGGAAGTTAGAACGATAAATTTAGATTAGTGTTGAGAAAACAGGAGGAGTTTCTGACAATATCTGGGCATTTAAGCAACCAACAGGATTTAATTTTAAATGTCTCAATATCTCGAGGTTTTCGAAGCTATTAAGAGTAAATCTATTGTAGGAACTATGAAGGATTTCGAAACCTTCAGTTGAATCGAAGTCGTGATTTGAGTCCAGTAGGTGGTTGGTAAAATGTGAAAAACCTGTTGTATTTTGGTTAAGACAACGTAAATGTTTTTTTAAACGGATCTTGAAATTTCGAAATGTGCGTCCCACATAGAAAGAATGGCAAGATTTACAAGTTAATTTATAAATTCCAAATAAGTCAAAGGGATCTAATTTATCTTTATTATGAACAAATAACTTATGTAATGAAGAGGGGGTTTTGAAAGATACTTTAAAGTGGTATTTGAGTAAGCTAGCCACTTTATAGGATGCTTTTCCAATAAAGGTAAGACAAATGTATTTCTTACTGGTGGTTAGTTCATGTACCATATTAGGATTGTTAATATAAACTAAATTTTGTTGAATTTTATTTTGTTTATGTGTTAGCATTTTATCAATAATATCTAGTTCAAAGTTGTGATCTATAGCAATAGTTTTAATTATATTTAGTTCCTTATTAAAGTTTTCCGTAGACAGAGGAACGTTTAATAGCCTCTCTAAGTAGCAATTAAAGGCAGCCAATTTATGTGTTGCTGGATGGTTAGAGGTATTGTCTATAACTGTGCCTGTATGTGTTGGCTTTCTATAGATGTCAAAGTTGAACTTGTTATTATTGTGTGAGATTTTAAGATCTAAAAAGTTAATAGATTTGTTTATTTCAATTTCTAATGTGAATTTAATATTAGAATGTAAGTCGTTAATTAATATATAAGAAACCAACGAGCACGTGTAAAGATTAGGTTAGATTGTCTGATATCCACATGCGTCATTTTCTTCTTTTATTCTTCAGTTGCTTCACAACAGTTAACCCAGTCATTTCTTCTTCTTTCTTCTTCCTACAACATCACATACACTTGGTGATTGGTTCATGGCCCAAATCTTATATAATAGATAATAAATAATTCTTCACTCATAGTTTACATCTTATTAACTATACCCTGTCATAAGTTTACCCAAGAAATTTTTCGTTATAATACTTACCACCACCTGTAGAGGCCTTAACTTGACAGGTCTCCTTTCAAAAAATGTTAGTTTTTTTAAAAAAACAACAATGTTTAAAATAGGCCTTATCTTTTAATCTGTTTAATGTATGTGATTTGTTTTTGTATAGTCTTGAATATTTTAAATTTTTACTATAATTGACTAATATTTGTTTTTTCAAATATTTTTAACTTTTTATTACGTGTAAATCGGTTCATTTTACAATTTATTTCAACCCAAAATTGATGAAACTTGTTTTTGTAGTATTCCCTAGTGGATGGAGAGTATGGTGAGTTTTCTCTTTTTTATTATTTTATATATCGTTTTGTTTCCAAGTTAACACACCTTACACCACATATACTCCTTTCCACTAGGCGAGCCTGATGACACTTCGAAACCGGTCGCACTCAATGTTTTGTTAAACAATTAAACATTGACTTTCCTTGTGAGATATAAAGGACTTTTTCTCACCCTTCACCTTAAAATTACCTCAACTCACACATGGCTACCCCCCTTGTCATTTTTAATTATTTTTCTTCATTCTTTTCTATGCCCTTTTCTGCTAATGTTTGCTTTTTTCTTAATATAATTTTAATTTTGTATCTTTTCTGTTTTCATTTTTTTGGTTACATACAATTTTTTATTTTATTTTAATTTTCTTGTTTTTTAATTGTTTTTCTTTTATCGTCTTGGTTTATCTTACTTATTACTTACTTTTCTGATTGAATGTGTTCATTGTGTTTTATTTTGTCAATTTTATGTTTTATATTTAGTATTTTTGTATGTAAAACATTTTATTTTGCCTTTTTTTATTTCAATATAATTTTACCATTTCTTTTTAATGTTTTATTTCTTTGATTTTATCATCTATCTATCGTACTTTTATTTGTGAATTTTTTTATTTCTTTTACTCCTATTTATATTTTTTTAAATTTGATCTTTTATGAATTTTTCTAATTTTTATCCTTTTTCTTTATTCCATCCTCTTATATTTGACATATTTCTTCAATACACTTTATTTCTATTACTTTCTTAATTTTCTGTTCCTGTAACTCTTCTACCTCTGTTATTCTTTTAATAATTTCTCTTCTAATATTTTTTCTTTATTTTTTCATTTCTTTTTTAATTTATTTCCAACAAATCTTCATTTTTATTCATTATTTCTTCTTTGATCTTATTTACCAAATCTTTGTTTTTATCCATTTCTTCTTTCATGTTAGTCATTTTTATTAAAACCTCTATTTGATCGCTATTTATGTTTCTCTGTAGGGCATTTATTCCTTGATATAAATAACATCATTAAACAAGCCCTAGATACGATCAACAAATGATGCAAAAAGGAAGCAGTTGTCTGTAACGGTGAAAAACTCTGATTGTCCCCAACGGAAGAATGCTCGATAAGGTTTGGCAACTTACCTTGGCTACGACGAAAGCATTCCTTTTGAAGAGGAGGTAAACATTTGTAGGGATTATTCTAGATAAGAAACTCATGGAACCCCTAATTGGAAACATATTAACAAAGCCAGGTTATGCATCTGGCTTTTTAGAATAAAATACGAAAAAGCATGGGGAATCATTCTTTAACTGATTTACTGGATTCAACAAACCGTGGAAAAACCCATGATTATGTACAGCTCCGTTGGCTGACGGCACAAGGGACTTCAATAGATGGCCAGAGTAAAACTGGCTGGAATCCAGAAGCTTGCGTGCCTCACCAT